CTACCATAGCCAAACTAAGACTTGGTAGGAGAGAGCCCATGGTGATTTCATAATGCCCTTGCTGAGGCATGGGCATATCTCCAGGTGTCATCCACAGTGGAATAGCGTGACATCCTGCTAAGGACATATCGCTTGGTGCTATCCATAGTGGACAGCATGCTGCTGGACACATGCACATGTGGGTTCGGCCCACTCTGCCCCATTCCTCACTGCCTCTTTCAGGACACATTCTGTTCAATGAAATGCAATAACCCATATGCAGTCTGTGTTTTCAATACATCCTCTCCTGCTCCATCACATATGGCAGTTTGAAACACTTATATAATGAGACATACTATCAGGATGTAGCTGTCAAAATGAAGAGACTAAGCTAAATGAGTAGGTCCTACTTATTAGTAACACTGCTCCCATGTGCTCTATCTGTGCCCCTGAATTTCAGATTTTACACTCATGGACTGATTATCTGGATAATCATAATACATCATCAAAGTTCAAAGAACATATTACAAAGTCAAAGGCAACTTCCATCTGGCATAGGGTTTCTTACCATTTTGGTAATATTCTGGTGAAATTTTCTGACTCCTTTAGAAGTAATGTGTTAAAATTCAAAATATAAAATGCATAAAAGTTTATATTAAAAGTCAAAAGGTAAATTATACAAAAGATAATGGCTGAAAAAGGAGGCCAACATGCTGAAATGATATTAAAATTTTGATTTATTTATATACTTACTTCCTTATCAACAAATTCAATTTAAAAATTTTAAAATAATAATAAGTATAAATAAAATATATAATTGCTTTGTACAATTGAATTTTTAAAATGTAAATATAATAAATTAATCTTAAATTATTTTATAGATACTTAGGATCTTTTGGCATTTGAGATAATTTAAGTGGTAATTTTTAAAAAAGAAATTGTGATGATAACAAAATATTGCATGTAACATCTATCAGAAACAGTCATAAGTATTGCTACAAGTATGATTTCTTGCCTAAATTTTATTTGAAACAAATATTTAATTTCAATTACATGTCAGGAATAATTCAGTTGTATTTTCTCACATTGACATCTAATTTGAACCATTCTCTTTCCTCCATTACTCCCATGGAAATCCTTGGAAAGATGTTTGCTCTTTAGAAGATTTACCATTCTCCCCTTCAAAGTGTGTCTCAAACCATTAAATTGAACACCAGCCAAATGCTTCCCTGGAAACACGCCCACATCCCCGTAATACAGTGTCAGATTTCTCATCCCCTGGCAGAAGGTTCTGGAAGGCAGAGTTGACTCCTGCTTGGATGTCCAGGAGTAGCTGTGACTTCTGCCTTCTTTTCTGTGACTGCACATCTTATGCTGGACGGAACCATCAAGAATGCAGCAAATGACATAAAGCTGAACATGAAGGTTTCCACTCTTCTTTTTTTTTTTTTTTTATTTAGAAATCAAATGATTTGGAAACTTGGCTATTTCTTGATACAGAACAAATGAAATGTGGCACACAATATACTGGTGGGGTCAAGTGAGCTGTGGAGAACAGCTGCTCCAAACTTGGGTAATGCACTACAAGGGATCTTTTGGGTCATTACAATGGCATTTAACTTTGTAACCATAGAACTAAAGTGAAAATGCTAATGTTTTATTAAAGAGACACTGACAAACTTTTTACCTATAGGTCCAGAGAATAAAGATTTTAGACTTTGTGGGCCACACAGTTACTGTCAAAACTATTGGACTCTTCTTCCATTGTAGTGCAAACTAACTGACTGAGTGTGGTCATGTTCCAATAAAACTACTTTATGTATGATGGAATTTGAATTTCACACAATTTTTTCCTGTCACAAGATAGTATTCGCTTTTCAACTCTTTCCACATTTTAAATCTATACAAATTATTCTTAATTCATAAGCCATACAAAATCAGACCATAGATTGAATTGGGCCATTGGCTACAGGTTGCTACTTTTATTCCTAAATATAAATTCAACAACCAGAGAGCAAATCTATTATACTGGTTGATGGGGTTGCAAGACCATTGCAAGGATAACTTCACTTAAAATAACTTTTAGCCACCAGTGAAGAAGATGAAGAAGCCTTTGATTGTTTTTTTTAGAGGCTTCATACAGAAGCAAGATTCTGCATATAGAAGCAAGATTCCAAAATATATAGAGTCTGCCAGAAAAAAAAATGTACACGTACTTCAGCAGTGTGTCATACTAATAAAATGTCTGGGAGAGAATGACCACCATTTTGAGCACCTCTTATAATTGCAGAGGCCAAAGGTAACTTCTGTGAAACTCATGATGTGTCAATAAATTCAGTATTAAAATATTTACACAAGTTTTTCTTTGTCTGATGTATACATTTTTTTTGGCAGACACCATAGGCCTATAGATAGACTTGCTCTGAAATCAAGATGGAAATCTCAAAACGAACGTGTGGGGTACATCGATTGTATACAGACAGACACTGCAGATGATGCTGTATCCAAACAATATGAACAAATTTACACAACACAAATTTAAATTTCCTTTCTGTTGTTCTGGGCTCCCCACCCCCGACCCCATGCATCTAACTAGGAGGAGCACTGTAGTATTGATTTACCTTTGCCAGAGTTCATAAACATTCCATCATTCCCCTGGAACTCTTTGCATCAGAAAGTGCATGGAAATTTGAAAGCTTAGACTTCTTCATCCCTAAGAAATTTCTTGGTTACTGATTATTAATAGTAGAATTGATTTTAGGGTATTTTTTCAGGAAGAAAAACAAAGACAAATTAAAAGAAAGAAAAAAATCAGAAGGAGGGTGGTAGACGGTAGCAATATGGTGTGGGAGTAGACAAACCCTTGTGATTTATGGAAAAGTTAAAGCTCACAGATTAACTCTGTTGTGAGAAAGTGTTTCATTCGTTATATTTCTCATCAATGAGCCTTAATTCATTACAAAAATTAGCATAACATTTCACCCAGTTGGAAAACGGAGTGTACAACCTATAATACCAAATGTGGATTATAGCCCTAGGGTGGTACAATCCTGTGGTGGTTGCTTATTGCTTTCTTGTCACTATCATCAGGCACACATCTGGGGCTTTAGTGTTTACCACAATGCCATTTTCTGGTTGATATATATCTGAGAGATGCGTATATTAACACCCAGGCTACAGAGCCAAGCACATTTTAGTGCCGGCTGCAGCTGAAAGAATATGTTTCCATTCCTTGTCCATCTGTTCTCAGCAATACAAATTTAAACTAGAAACATGGAATAAGCTTCCTGAGAAAGAAATCTGAATCGGGGTTATAGCAGAAAGGTGGGTGCTCTAAAGTGTGATTTTATAACATTTGATTTTGCAGCAGAAAGATGGTTTTTCCTGGGAGCAATCTCACGTGGTAGCTACAATTTAAAATTTAACAATCATACTTTTTTTTTTTTACCATTTGTTTAAAAAACTATGAAGGCTTGGTCACATATTGTGTGTTAAGTGCTTATATTAAATTTTCCAGCCTTCACGGGTCTAATGAACTTTGAGATTTCAACACACTGTTCGCCAGCCACATAGTTGAACTACACTGAACCATAACCGTGAACATTTCTGAACTCAGGGCTAAGATGGATTCTTTAGAGAAAAGTGAGAGTTTTCTAAACAAGTGGATTTCATGCAAAACACACAGGCTTTTGTTTTCTACTATTCCCATCTTGGATAGGACCAGCTAGCGTGTGCTTATTTTCTATAATAGTTGTGTCTTTGTTCTGTGTGCTACCTCCTACAGAATTTTTTCTAAGAAAAAAATGTGAAACTATTTACTGACATTTGAAAATGCACCAGAGAGTACACAGGAGTAATACAATAGAAAAGGAGCGAGTTTGAGAATCCACAGTTCTGCCCCCAAATCAAAGACCTTGTCACCCAGCTCAGTAGATGCGAGGGTACCTCTCATGGGGCCTTGGAGCAGGCTTTCTGGGTCTCTAATGGTCTAAGTTCAACTCTGCTATCTGGTTCTGTGTGGATCTTGAGATTTGAAAGAGACCTTGATGCTCACACAGTCCAACCTCCCTGGCAGAAATACTTCTACACATTTTGAAGAATCTCCTTTTCATATGCAGCTTTATCAAAGACTAGGGCAGTTTTTATGCTTCAACATGGTTGGGTTCAAATTTTGACTCATAAGTGTGCCTCTGAAAAGTGGATATAAAAAAAAGAAGCTAATTTCCCTAGTTTTCAACTTCTCTTCCTATAAATAGGAATAATTATATTTATCTTAAATTGGTTCTGAGGGTGAGAGTGGGAGATAACTAGAAAGTGGTCAGCCCACGTCACAAACTATAATCAATACTAACTATCAGCCATTTTCTGTTAATAAAACTTATGGTACTTGTGTTGCCCTGATTATCTAGTGTACAGCTAAGTACTGTTTTGGTAGAATATGTAATCCTTAACATGAGGAGAAAGTTTCAAGAAAAGCTATTATTTCTTGTGCTATCCAAAGTTACCTATGACTGTGGACATCATTAGTGAATAAGAGGCTCAACCTTCCAATCTGTAAAATGAGAAATTTCAACTCAGTGATCTCTAAGGTCTTTTGTTCAAGTAAATTAGCAAAGTCACATTTGACAGCATACCTTCATACTTCATGTATGTGATAAAATGTGTACTTACTGCCAAACGTCTGATGTGGGTTTTTCTAAATGTTCCATGCATGTGGGATGACGTTAGGCTTGTTGATGTGAAGAAATACTGGTATGGTTTGGGGGCGTCATTTGGCTCAGACTCCCCCCCCCCCACTTGTTTTCCGTGGGCTGACAGCAAGTCATTTTCCATAGCATGAACTTCAAGGCTTGGTTCAGCCCGGAATTCCAGCAGTGGGCCATCTTTTCATTCCTTCTGGTTTTCAGATAGAGAAACTTTCCTTGTGAAGTGGCTTTCGTTCTTTCCACAACATCCCGGGCTGCTTAGCTGTAGACCTACGCATGCTCTCTGTTGCTCACAAGGCATCTGTTTTCTTTCAGACCTGAGCGACCAGCTGCTGGAAGTGGTTGGCTTGGAAGGGGCCATGGAGATGGGGCAGATATACACAGGCCTGAAGAGTGCTGGCCGCCGGCTGGCCCAGTGCTCCTGTGTGGTCATCAGGTACTGCTTTCTCTGTCATTGATGGACAGGGCGCAACCACACTTGGACTAAAACGAGGCAGGACTCTGAGAATGATATTTGTGTTATTTTTGTTTCAAATTATCAGTGACTAACAATTCTACATGTCAAAATAATAAAACCAGCAGATTTGATCCAGTATCTGCCAGCCCTCACTTCTCTGATTCTTTACAACCTTAGTCTCTCGTGTTGACTCCTATAGATACAGGGATGCATTACTTCAACCATGCAAGTTTATTCTAGGCTGTACTCATTTGTACCCAGTTTGCTGAAGCAAACAATGTATTTACCGGGCTAATGAGTCAAAGAGAAAACCACTGATACAGTGAACACTTAAATTCTCTCCTAGATTAAAGTTCCACAGTGTTCCTGTAAAATGAGTAATGAAATATAACATAGGAAAAATTTTGTGCATTGAATGTGAAACTTTCCAAAGAAATTTTCCTAATGTTTCATGTGTAGGAAGGGGAAAAATGAATTTATTTTGAGCTTGAGGTAAAACCACAAATTGAAATGCAGATGCAGTGAATGTTATTTATATAAAAGGATTGATCCTGCAAAATCTGAGATATTCGACATCTTTTCTACAGGTTTGCCATGTGGGCGAGCAGGAGAACAAGGGGTTTCTTTTGGCTGCAGGAATTCTCATTGTGTCCTTAAGCATAAATCCTGACAGTTTCTTTTGGCATTCAGAATTTTTATTATCACTACATTTACCAGGAAACTCCTAACATTCCTACAACCACAGTACCTTACAGATATTCATTAATAAAGAATAAACATCTCCCTCTCAGAAGAGATTTAAAATCTGTTATTACCGTATTTGCCTTCCCTGATCTCAGTATCTTATATTTTTACGTAGAGTCTGCTACATGAAGTATTTCAGTGTTATACTCAAAGCGAAATATTTTCCTCCAGGACTAGCAAGTCCCTGCCCATGCAGATCGATGGGGAGCCATGGATGCAGACCCCATGCACAGTGAGTATATGTGGTTAAAATGCTCTGTCAGTTTAAAATATGTGCTTCCCAAGTATCAGTATGCCTGCCACAAAATAATCACAATGTCTAATCTTTTGTCTTGACCTTTTGGGGTCTCTCAGGAATACTTTTTTCTCCCCTTATTTATGTGTCAAGGTCATTGCAGTCAACCTTTAGGCTTAACACACCTCGGCCCTGATTTAGCTTTTGAACATGAGTGTGATAACTATGGAATGGTGCTAAATACCCTCAAGGATGAACTTGGGAAATGAACAAAATAATAGCTTCCCTTAAGCTTTCTTGTCCATTTCAGGGTACCTTATAAGACAATCACTAGTGGGAACCCCCCACACGTCTTCCTGAGTTTATTAATCACCTGTTATTTTGCTTAAAATTTCATTATAGAAAAATGTCCCCTCTCTATTTTTTTACCATAAAGTTTTCTCCACAGTGGCATATTTACTTCAGACATTGTGTCTCCCTCTGGATTTTGATTTTAACTTGTACAGTAATGTTTCATTGCATTTCAAATACATGGTATGCACTTCCCTTGCCATCAGAGATAGAAACTTGGAAAAGGTTGCCTTTAAAAACTTATATTCTGATATGTGTGACAAAATAAGTTAGATAAATATAGATTAAGATATAGATAAATATAGATGAAGATATCTATACAGATATAGATAGATATAAATATAGATGAAGATATAGATATGAGAGTTGTAACAAATATAAGGAGAAATAGTGAAGAAGAATAGATGGATAAGAAAGATACTACTTTCAATAAGTGGATCTGGGAGACTTTTTAAAGAAAATACAGCCCACAGCCCCATGCATAAAGAAAAAAAGAGGATCTCACGGTTTCTAGAGTTAGAAGGAGAAAAGCAGAAAGGATGGACCAAGGATAAGTCATGACCAAAAAATGACAGTAAAGTGTTAGAGTTTGACTCTGACTGTCACAGGAGGTTAAGGAGGGCTGTAAGCATTACCTGCTCTCCATGTTTAAAGTTCTCCTTGGTTGCTGTGTGGAGAATGTATTATACTTAGTAACAGCCAAGAGAGGTCTAACCTGGTTCTCTGGGCTTGAACAAAATAGCAGCAGGCCAAAAAAAGGGGAGTGGATGGATTGAGCAGAATTCTGAAATTTGAAACAGGAAGAATTTACTAATGACAACTCTTAACAAGGGTGGATGGGCCAGGCATGGGGGAGCATGGTTTAATTTCCAGCACACAGAAGGCTGAGACAGGAGGATGACCATGAGTTCATGGCCAACCTGGGCAAACAAAATGAATTCAAGGACAGTGTGAACTACAAAGCAAGATGGTATCTCAAAACTACAACAACAAATGGAAGGGTAGATGAGGGAAAGGCTTGAGTTGAAGTTGACTTTTCCCACTGAATGAGAGCGCTGTTAACATGGTACTTATAATCATACATAAAACTGCTTAAAGAATAACAGGAATAGGCCTTAATCTTGTGTAACACTGTATTAAGTGCTAATGTTGAAATATCCTTAATTAAATGTTGACACAAATTTAAGAAATCACCTAAGTTTTCAAATGGAGAATATTAAGGCTTGGAGAATATAATTAACTCACCCAGCTTCTAGTATACAGCAGATATGAAACTCATCCATTGGTTAACGTCCACTCATCATCTTCTGATTCAAATAACGTTAGCTATAAATTCCAGATGGCACAAACTAGTTCATAAGGGAAACTTTTAATTTTACCCTTCAAACATTCTGAAGCTGCTTTCTCAAACATTTCATATAGCATAAGAGTTTAACATTTTTTGTTTCTGGAATATTCTTGGTAACTAGCTGTGTTCATGAACTCTATTATTGTTTGTAACAATAATTTAAAACAAACTCACCCCAAAATCCTCTAGACTGGCTGTGCCTTCTGCTATGTCTCACTCTTGGTTCCACACAGCATTTTAGAAAACCCTGTTCCTCCGCTTTCAGGATGTATACATTTGCTCCTTGCCTGTTTTATTTAGCATTTCAAAATATGCATCTAAATTCACAAATTATTCAGGTGGAAGTGAAATGTGGGCGTAGGATTAGCAGTGATGATTATGGTGTTGGTAAGCTGCCGGTAGAGACAGTGGTGATGGTGATGGTACTGTGGATGCAGTGATGCGTATCATAGCAACGGAAGACTCACATTGGTTATGATGGTTATAATGGAAATTGGTTAAAACTTCCGGTGAGTATCATAGTAATTGTCACAGTGCTAGTGGTAGAGGGGATGGTGGTTATAATGTAGGCTAATGCTGGTCATGGTGACTATACTTGTCTTTAGTAAAATGTCACTCTTTACCAGCCATGATCACAGGGAATGCATTTTCTTTTTTGAAAATAAAATCAAACACAGGACCAAGGATTTAGCTCAGTAGCATAAGTGCCTGCCTGGTAAACGCAAGGTCATGAGTTCGATCCCTGGTACCAAAGTGGGGAAAAAGATCAAACACTATGCAGAATCATTCTTTGTGTTGTTTAAAATTCTTGTACGGGAGGAAGACAGTTTGGTCCCTGCACCACGTTTTGAGTAGAGAAGTGGTGAAGACAATGGTAACACTTCACATACAAACTGTTCATATGTGTACATAGTGAGACACTTGATCTGCACATTTAATTCTCACAAAAACTCTGATAGCCTCATTTTATGAATAGATCAAGTGAGGCAGACTGGTTTAGAAGTCTGTCTGATTCCACATATCTAAGAAGTGGCAGAGTAGACCCTGAGGCTCAGGCCTCTTGGCCTCAGAGACTGCATTCATCATCAGGACGCTTGCTGTAGATCTCAACGTGTCCTGGCGATCGCGCTCCAACACGCGGCTTCCAGGGGCTCACATGCCATCTCCAGCTTCAGAAAAGCTATGTACATTGAAATTTAGTCTTCAAGAATCATGTTAGCATATTTCAACTAAGGACTTTAAGCAGTATTTTTCTTTCCCTTAGTAGTGGGACATTCAATTGACTTATTAACTATCATTATCTGCAATTGTTATATTAATAATGACTGTTATATAACTTACATTTAATTTTCTCTTCCTGTAGACTCATTCATTTAAAACATGCATTACAGCCCACAGTGGGCCAAGAAGTGTACTGGGCTATGGCTCATTATTGTCATTTTGTATTCTGGCACATTCTATTTTTCCAGAACCACATGGAGCTCTGAACTTTAAGTTTCATTTTAATGAAAGAGAATATTTAATATTTGTAGCACTGCTATGGTTTTAGCTAGTTTTTTTTTTCCTTCAATCAAATAACACAATGTTTTTATTGCAAAACATAAGAATTGTAGAATGTTAAAATTCTTTGCTGAATTTAAATATCCATAAGCTGATTTTCAATTTATGAAGGAGTTTCTCTTGGTACAATTTTAGAGGAGAGCAGAAGTTCTGTTTTTCTTTAAATAGAATATATAAATTTGAAGGGCAGGCAGTGAATATGCCTTGATTCTTAAATCAATAAAAATATTTTTAAAAAATCAAAGTAATACACATTTTTAGATGGGTGGTGGATGAATAACAATATAAGTGTACTGAACTTTTTGGACCTAAAAAAAGGCAAAAATTGAAAATTTTATTATGCATATTTTATCAAGATAAAAGTGATTGAGAAAAAACTATAATATTTACAATTTTCTCCAATCATGATCTTGAACATATCAGGAGAAGTAAAAATCAAAGACCATAACATTAATTTTGAAATGCAGAGTACATAATTATTTTTACAACCTTCTAAATGCTCTAACTGAAAAACAGTTGTCTTAGCTGTTTTGTTTTGTTTTGTTTTTCATGGCAGATACAAAATGCCCAACACCAGAGGTTGCAGGAGGAAAGGTTTATTTTGGCCCACAGTTTATAAAGGTTTCAGTTAAGAGTTAACTCATTCCAAGGCAAAGTGGCATGGCGGAGGGGCATCTCAGAAGAGATATAATTCACGGCAGACTGAAGGCTGCAAAAGCAGCAATAGAAGCCAGTAGCCTTCTTTCTGTCCCTTATAGTCTATCCAGGCTACATGCCCTTAGGACAGGTAGCACTCACACCCAGAGCTGGCCTTCCACAGCCAGAACTATGTCAAACCAATCAGTGGGCTAATTTAATAGTCATGAACACTTAATCCCAGCTTTGCATACTCTGGATCCAGCCACCTATGACCGTATGAGGCTCTGGGGGACACTTAGACACAAGCCATAACAGCAATAATAGAAATTTGTTTAATGGCCCTATATTCAAAGTATTGAGAAAGTCACTAAGAATGGATTTTACCCATATAATTATTTTCTGATTAATATTATTGTATATTGTTATCTTCAATGTAGTTGTTCAGATTACAAGATATAGGCATTAAAAATAATCAATTAAACAATGAAAGCACAAACCTTTCTTTTTGATGAACTAACAGATTAGTAGTATAGTTATCTATCTTCTATACATATACATGAATACATGTGTATGTATATATACATGTATGTGAATATAATTATTGACTGTATTAAAAAGAATATTGAAGTTGATAATATCAGTTCTATAAGACTGTCTATTGAAATGACTTTAAAACTGCCTGTATTTAGCGCAGATTTGAAAGCCTACTTTGTCTTTTTTGACTTCTTCCCTGATCCTTCCTCCTGAGCATATAAACAACTCACCCTGCTGTTTCTGTAATGAGAAGACTGGCTTGGGGTGGGGGTGAAGACTGTAAAGTGATGCATTCGGGAAAGACATGCACTGGGTCATTTATTTATATCTGCTCACCCAGCAACCACATATTATCCGTGTTTTACAGCTGATGAGTATCAACTGTAGCTTTAAGAAGTGACTATGCAGAGCCTTGGGAACCTCATAAGGATTCCTAATCTGCTCCTTCCCAGTCTTCCCCTCTCCAAATTCCCACCCCCTCTTACATTTGAAATCTGATACTCCTATACTGTTTCTGTTAATGGAATCATCATGAATCCAGTGTTCCTTAAACGAAAAATCAAGT